TTGGTAAATCCAGGTTGTCTTGCAGTAACTCCCACTTCTTGCAGTGACTGACTTTAATTTATACCCCTAATTTAAACCACAGCACAAACTTTCASAATATTTAATATCTATCAGCTTAAAGTTAGATCCAGTTTTGTTTTGTCAGAATGTTTAACACTATTCATACCGTTATTATACAGATATTTGCTTTCACTCATTTATTAAAGGCTGTATTTTTGATTCCTTTAGATTCTCCTCGTTGAAAATTTTACACTTTCAAACTGTTCTACCATATCAAAATCAGATTTTTCTGCCTTTGACTCTTTGTCTTACTCAGTGTACAGCCACRTGGTTTTGTGGAAATTGTCCCTGCCCATGGCACGGAGGTGAAATGAGTTCAGCTCTRAGGTCTCTTCCAACTCAAACCACTCACTATGATTCTACATAATGTCATTATTCTGCATATTTTTCTTTTATAAACACAATAAAAACAATGACTTTCCCTAACAGAGGTAATTTTATACACTTTATATTTTTTGTAAAGTATCCTGCAACTCAGAGCAACGCTTCAAAGAAAGGATAAAACACCGAAACAACGCTTCTAACGACACAAATAAAGAGATATCAGGAAAAGAGCTGCGTGAAGAAGTGATTTAAGTGTTTATTTTATTTACCTTTGGAGTGGGGCAGTTCTTGGACAGATGTCCTGGTCTGTCACAGTTCCTGCAGGTGACCCTTTTGGCAGCTCTGTAGTACCTCATGCTGCTGTGCCTCGTGCCCCCGTAGTTGGAGATCTGTGCCTGGTGAAACAGAGAGACAGAATCGCATTTACCACTGGAGATTCTGTGGTTTGGGAGCTGGGAATTGTAAAGGTCACTGCTGGCAGTGATCCAGCAGAAATCTAATGTTTCACATGTACAATTCACACGTCGGGGTTTGGAATGGATAATTCTCTTACAGAGGAACCTGCATTGTCTGCAGGGAAACTTCTTGTTCCAACTTCCTCTTCACAACATTTTTTTTTTTGCTATTTACAATTCATTTGTGAAGCTTTCCCTCAGTTAGCCAAGAGATTTTTACTCACTCTGCTATGTCACAACAAAATGGAATTTTCCCCAGAACACAAATATATCTAACATCAATTGCAGATGCAAAGTTACATGTTAAGGGAAACTGCTTAGACAAAGTACAATGCCATACAAGGCCATACAAGCCTGGATGAAACCTGCAATTTGCAATTGTAAAGAAAGACAAAAAAAAAAAAAAAAAAAAAAAAAAAAAAAAAAAAAAGACAAAAAGAGAGAGAAAAGCTGAAAACAACTGTCTCTCTCCCAGTGATTTTACACACACTTTCCGTGTAGGCAGCCAGAATTGAAAATCCTATCATTGCCTGGTAAACATCATGAGTTTTAAAAAAATAAATGGAATTTTGAATGAATGAATAGGAGAGGTATAAAAATACAATTTTTCTTCAGGGGAAGAATTATTTTGTGTCACTTGACTGTACCAGTTTTAGTGGACATTGTAAAGGAAAAGGGAATTTTCTCCTCCTGATGCTGCAGTTTCCCCACGGCTGAGCTGAGCTTAGGAARGCTCCACACTGCTCCTGCCAGGGCTGGAAGGGTCCAGCGTGGATGGAACAGCTCCAGAGAGAGCTGAAAGAAGAGCTGATGTCCCTTTTGGAGAG